CAACTGGTTGGTTGGAGATTTTTGTACACACCCACAGCAGACGGGGCGAACCTCATAGTCACGAGGACCTGCTGTTCGGTGGTGGAAACCGGCAACCTAAGCCTTGGAGTGGCAAACCACATAAGGCCGCGATAGGTTAGGCGTGGTGGTGAACCGGACGACAGCAGAGCTGGATATGGCAGCGAACCGACAGAAATGGCGTTTATGTTGTCAATTCTTATCCGGTAATAATGCTTGAAAACGTGTGTATGCCCAACTAGGCTGTTCGCTGTGTTGGTCATAGGGATTCGTTTTCTTTCCCCGTTCCTTGAAATGGGCCCTATCCCTGTCCACCTTACATATTCTCACCTACCTTGTAGACATAAGCTTGGCAGCGATCTAACATTCTTGTTTTCATAGGTGATCTGATAACCAATCTTGCATTGATTGTTCCCTTTGTTTCAATATCTCTTCAGGTTTTCTAATAACCATGTCGGAAAACGAAACGGCTGATGCGGACAAGGGAATACGCGTTCTTGGTGACTATCCAGTATTATTGGCTGGTAAGTGATCTTCTTGATCTAATGTGTTTCATCCAGGCGTGGTTTTCACGGGATTCGCTTTATTTAATGGCTTGCGACTTTCACGAATGCCTCTGGAAGCCATTGGTTCACAACGCATGATGCGTTGGCGTATCTACGGCCAAGGCGGTACACTGGCCCTTGCGAGCTACATTGCTGCTGTCAGTTACAACTACGTCACATCGAAGCGTTCACAATAGCATTGATCCATATGTTCATCTCTAGCCGACTTAGTTCGAAAGCTTTCGTCGTTTCGATATGATTCATTGCACGTTATCCCCCGTTTTTATTTTTTGGGAATATAAACATTGTCAAAATCCTCTCTTGTTAAACTCGGACTCTGCGGCATTGGGCACATTGATGCAGATATTTTTTCATGGCTTATATACGACACAGAAATCCGATCGATTCTCTTCAAGACGAGTTACAATGGGGGTAGCAGTAGTAGCATATTTGATTTTTCAGAGCCGGTGCAGTGAGTGCACCATTCATAGGGGTATAGACCTTATCCCAATGGCGTCAAATCTGTTGGCGTCCGTCATCCTCTGCTCCGATTGTACGTTATGCATGAGGGGCAGACTGCGTTTCGCGCCGATCGTGGTTGCATCGATCAATTCCTCGTCATTTGACAGTTGTTTAGTGCACCCTCATGCCTATCAAAGACCAACGATCATTGGATTCTTAGAAATCCGTGCGGCCTTCGATTCTGTCGATAGGGCCGCCCTATGAAACGGTTTATTTAGGAATAGACTACCAGAGAAGTAACTGTCGATCCTCAAAGAGTTGTATCATCATAACTTGGGTCGGGCTAGGGCTTATGGTTAGCTTTCGCCATGCTTTGCCGTCTCCAGTGGGGTACGATAAAGTTGCCATTTATCCCCCATTGCTCTTAAACTTTGTTTTCGAGGATGTTTTACAGGACGCTTTATCCGGTCTAACAAAAGGTGGAACAGAGTTCTTGACTTAGAATATACATTATTAATTATTAGCTCTTTAGATTCTCTCTGCTATTTCTGTGTCCCCAGTAGTTAACTTATCTTACTCTGTTTCACCCGGCTAGCATGGATGCGAAGTGCAGCAACCAGCGGTGTAAGAAAGGCGTTGTCTCGGAGGGAATACAGTGCGAAACGTGCCTAAGGTGGTTCCATCTTCGATGTGGAGCAGTTAGTAAACAAGTAAACCTGTTATATCACGAAAATAAAACCCTCAGTTTTGTGTGCAGAGGGTGCAAGTCGCGCATCCGCGAACTCATAAAGAAGGAGAACTCAACAAAGGTGTCGTAAGATGTACGGAAAGGATGTAATGGAGGAGCGGTAGTGTCTTCACCCAGGGATCTGGAGCCCAAAACGGAAAAAAGAATTAAGGAAGATAGAGTGGTCACTGCAATCAAAACAGATGTCTCCACCAACTCAGAGTGCGACGAGACTGTCGTACTACGGAGCCAGGCAAAAGAACCGAGTAAAATAGGTAGTTTGGAAGGTGAGCTTAGTTAAGCTAACTCAAAGAATAGGGGCGCTAGAAACCAACCAGGCTCGAGTGAGCGAAGCGCTCGCAAGGCTGGAAAAGTGCAGTGATTTGTCCCTAGAGAGGCACCACAATGTGGTGATTGAAGGTATTCCGGAACTCTTGATGAAACAAGGGCGGAATAGAGAGAATGGAATGTGATACCACCTGGTAAACCTCTTGCGATTGGCTGAAGCACCAGTCAGGCGCATGATGAGACTTGTTAAGTGGCGCGGTGNGTGTAGATGCCGTGAGTACAAGAATTCCAAGACCAACCTTGGTGGAATTTGCTAATCCAAGGCATAGGGGTGGTCTCCTGGCAGCCGCTGGGATGATCCGGGATTATACTGCTGGAGGCACCATCATAACCCCAGACGACAAACCGACACGACCGGTAATTTGAATGGCCACAAGCTACCAGTCGCCAGGTTTCAACACACCCAGAATAATCGCCTCGAATGTACCAGTACCCAGTTCGAGGATCCCCAAAGGTATATGCAGTCTAGCAACGGCAGCAGGCGGGATGGGGACTTCGCAGGGCACGGGAGCAACATTGAAAAGGCCTGCAAAAAAGCCAACAGCCACTAGCACACCGACTAGGGTTGAGCCAATGCATCAGAACGAGGGTGCTGGTCAGGCGAGGGTAGGAACACAAGTGGGTGTCCCACAAAATCGGAGGCAGTGCTGGGGTATAAGGCCCGAGCGACCGGTTTTCTCCCACAGGAAACGGCCATGTGAGGGGGAGGAAAGGTCTACTCGTGGTATATACAAATGCCGCGAGTGTAGGTAACAAGTGAACAGAAATGCAGGCTCGCGTATCTCGAGCAGGTGCCATCGTTATAACTGAAACATGGCTAGGCTCGAAAGATGACATCAGATGCCGAATACCGCGAAACTAGTCTCTAGTCAGTAGAATAGACCGGCTGGGGGCGGAGTTGTACTCTTGGTAGCTGAACATCATAAGCGGAGGGAGGGTATAAAAATTGCTACTTCGAACGTACAGGCTGGGGAAGTAACGGTCAAAGTTGACAATGGAGAGACCACCCTGGTTTGGTTATACCACAGCTCTAGTACAAAAACATGGGGAGACGACCATCTACTTGCCTTCCCAGATTAAATCACAGGGAAGAGTCGCAAACTCCTGATTGTAGGGGATTTCAATGCGCCGGATGTCGACTGAGCCATATAAATGGCTCCCAGAAACTCATTCGGGAATAAACTAGCTGCGGTGCTACACAGGAAGGCGCTGACTCAGCACGTAGATAAGGCAACCCGGTGGAGTGATGGGCAAGTCCCATCAATATTGGATCTCGTGGTAACTAGGGCACCCAACGACGTTCTCCGATTGGGAATAGAAGAACCCATCGGGAAAAGTGACCATGGTGTACTGCGAGTATGGAACAAAGTGCGCCAGACAAATACCGCTGGTCCTTCTGATCCATCAACCAGGTCACACTGATTGAATCAGGTCGTCGGTGCAACTGGATGGTAGAAGAGAGAGAGCAATACGTTGAGCGACAGTGGTGTCGAATTAAGAACAACATATTGGCACTCACGGACCAAGTTGCACCACTGAAGAAGGTCAGACGCAGGGGTGCTCCGCCTTGGTGGAGTAGCAGGATGAGAAAACAGGCAGCTTGGCGGCAATATCGGTGCACCGAAACGCATAGGGACTTTCTGTGCTATGAAGTGGAGAGGAAAACAGCGTCCAGGGTGCAAAACGAATGTCGGCGCAGGTATGAGGAGAGGTTGGCACTACATGCGAAAACCAACCCCAAAAGCCTACTTCAATTGCGTGCAGTCAAAGACTGCACCGAGGGAGGCTGTAGGATGTGTTATGGATGGCACAAATTACCGACCCGTCAATTTGACTTCGGTGGTATTAAAAACCATGGAGCGAACCATGCGGGGTAGAATAGTCTCACTTGGAAGCAACCAAGATGTTGACCGCACACCAGCACGGCTTCACGAGGAGAAGCTCGTCCCTCACCAACCTGTTGTGTTTCCTTGACGAGGTAACGCATAGGATTGACCGGGGAGACGGTGGAAGTCTGTTACCTAGACTTTCAAAAGGCCTTTGACTCGGTCAACCACGGGTTGATGATGAAGGTT